GTCGTTCAAAATAAAGAAACACGTCTTTTTTCTTTTTTTTTTTAAATTCCATGTTGTCGATCCTTAATCGTTAAAAAACCCCTATATATATATATATATATATAAATTGTGTGATGGCGGCGACTATGACAGCGAATAATAATATAACATAGATATAATTTAATCAAGATGACGATGCGGTTCGGTCGCAATGAGAAAAATCACGTATACAGAGTGTTTCTGAAATAGTTGAGGTGACTAGTTATGCGTACTCAGTGTGACGACCCGATGAAGATTTTTTGAAATTTTTTTTCAATCTTCAAAATCTGGGGTTGTTCATCTTATTTTTAGAATATTATCTTAAATGTGAAAATGAACACAAAAGTTGTATTTTTTTGCAAAATTATCATACGAATATTGTAGCGTGGTGGAATAACGCACTTCAACACGTGTCTAGTCGTCCGTTTGCTTCTAGCCGTCCAATAGCAGTTGTATTATAGAATATAGACCGATTGGAGACCGAGACCTGCAAATAACCAGGTATCAATACGGACCAAGCGCTTCGGAAAAGTGGTTTCTGAGTCGGTACGGTGGGCCTTTTACTATTTTTTATAATGTTCGATGAAATGCGTCTGCGATAGATGTGTAAGGGCGTACTACCTAATTTCTCTTATTTTTTCACCGATATTATATTTCTATCCGTACGGAAAGCGACATTAAAATGGATAATATATAGTCTAATACCTTTTATTCATCGTTTTAATCAGTTAACGCATATTAATATATGGTAATGAATTAGTTAGTCGACTACTCTCCAAAACGCATTGCCAGTACGCCGTACGCGCTCTCTATCGGTAAATTTTATTGTTAAATGATCGTACTGTTGTGGATTGTTGCTGTTGGCGGTAGTGTTGTGTTCATTACAACATATTAAACTTAAATAATGATACATTTCTCCTAGATTCTGAATTCTGATTGTAGATAGGTAGGCACGTGGGATTACAATCAAATATAAATTAACAAAAAGTAATTGTGTGCCTGCTCTGGGTCTGGGGAATAAAATTTAAATTAAATACTAACATCATAATATTGAAATATTATTATAAAAACTGAATATACAATATTATACTTTCCTAATGGGAAATTATTTTTTTTTTTWTTATTATTATTAATTAAAGGCTTCAAATACAAAGGTTTATTYGTCTACAATGGTTTACATGTTTAATTTATAAATATAATGAAGATTTGATAGTTGTAATGTGCTGTTTTTGGTTCTTGTCTTATATGTCGGTTGTGAGGTCGGCCATCTTGATGAAGTTTAC